TGCCCAGATGAAGACGAGAAAAAGACCCTGAGACTCCGCTTCACGAAGTTCCTGGATCTTGCGGATGGAAAGATCGAGAAGCAGGAGCCGGTCTCGGAGAAGACTGGCATTGTCAAGGCCTCTGAGTGGGAGGCCCGTGCAGCCCAGGGTTCAATTCCATTGATACGTATCTCTTTTATCTCTTGGCTGAAGTGTCTCGTTGTCTAGTCTCCTGACCGAACTCAATCCGTGAGTCGAGTCGTGGAAAAGCTCTTGGCACTGAAGGTTTTGCTGGATGGCAGCCGCAGAGCAGCAGCTTCAGTGGGCATGCCAATAAGGCCGCGACAGTTCCTGGACTTGCCCCTGGAAAATGCTGTGGAGATCGAAGACTCAGCATCCCCCAGTGCTCCGTCGGCTTCTTCTTTCACTCCCAACAAGGTCTACTACATGCCGAGTCGGGCTGGAGCGAAGTGTGTCTTGCAGCTTCACGATGCTTCGCGGCTGCAATTTTCCATCTGAACCAAAGATGCAATCACACATTGAGACAACGTGTCACAATATTCGCACGAGGTGCCAGACTTGATGTCACAGACCAGTGGGTACAGGCTTCTGCTACGTACCGAAGAAGTGTGGAAATTGCTGGCACTGCGAACCCAGTACTGCAACTGGTACACCCGACTGAGCCTAGTCATGAAACGGTGGTTTTGTGTTGTCACTTACGACAGTCAAGTCTGAACCAAGATGATGTGGATCGTTGCATTAGATAAAAAATACAAACTAAGGAGCGAAGGGAACACGAAGGACATCGCCACCGATTGGCAGATCGACTTCTGGATCCACCTGGTTCGGCCCCAGAGTTACAAGGGCCAAAAAAACCTGGAGACCTCCGTGAGGATCAACTTCGAAGGTATGACCTTCTTGGGTTTCTTCTTCACAGTGACTTGGATTCTGTGCTTTCTGATTTCTTGTTTGGAGACTCGACTGCTTCCTTCGGCTTTACGGAGACATTAGATGAGTCACTGACTGAGGCTGGCAGCTCTCTGCAGGGGCGATCTTGCAAGCCTGAGCTGCAGAAGTCCACGCTGCGAACTCTGGAACTTTTCCTTGAGACTTTTGTACCTGGCGACATCACCTTGCAGCTGCTCCCCCAGGTGGCTGCAAGCGCCATGGCTGCAAACCGCCGTGACACGGGCGACCGATTCTGGTAATCTACCTTCGCCTTTACGTCCCAAGGCGAGCTTCGCATGCACGGCTACGAGGTGAACCTCGAGCAATGGACCCGGACCCTCCAGTTCTTGGGCTGGTTCGGGAGGCTGCTGCTGTTGCTGCTGCAGCCAGCCATGTCTTTGGATTCTTGCATGATTAATCAGGTTTTCCTGTCTCTGTTCAGGTGGTCCAAATGCAGAGCATTTCCTTCACATGTCCAGAAGCTCCAAGCAGGCAGCTAGGCTCCATCATCAGTGTGTCGCTGCTCCGAGAGACTACTTCCAAGCCTTGTGCATTCTGATGTGGAGCAAGGTGTCAAACTGGCTTCAGTGGTATGGTTCATCTTGCGAGTTCCTCGCGATGAGATGGTCTGCGAGGACCTTCAGTCATGCCTTGTTGCACCTGCTGTATGAATACTTTGTTTTTTCATGAGCGGACTTGGCCTGATCTCATGGACAAGCAGCAGATTCGAGTTTGGATCAGGGTCGTGTCCCAGTTCGACGAGTCCAGAAAAGGCTTATTCATGGGCTCTGCCAGAAGGCAGAGGTTCATGCTGCCGAACACATGCGAGAGACCATGCCCAAGCCGGAAGCAGAGCATCAGCTGCACCCGATGAAAAAGAAACCTAGTGGCATTCAAGGCTGCTGCATTCATCAATGTCTTGCTGCTTGTGCTTCTCTTGTTTCCCATCGATCACTTCCGTGGCCAAGGGACGGCCGTACGCTCCAACGGGAAGCCAAGCCGAAGTCCATCTTCGCTTTGCAGCGATTCCTGGCCAAGCCTGCCGGGTTCATGAACAGATCCGACGACAACACGCTCGAGAGCTTGGGCCTGTCGGAGATCCTTGTGTCTCATGCTCACAGGACCGGGTGCCTGTCCGTGTCCGCTTGCATCAAAGGTGTGCTTCTGGTCTCGTCAGGCTGAGCTGCGATGTTCTTTTCCACTTCTGGAACAAAAGCTTCGATCAGCTTAGTCGGGTGGCTCGGTGGCCATTGCTTAGAAGAAGCCATCACAAATAACACCCCGCGAGTGCCGAGGTTGTAGAAAAGCAGAACTGCAAGAGTGTCCTCCTGATGTCTGATGCCTCTCCCAAAGGGAAGCTGGATGACTCTCGGCTGGATTTCCTGCATGGTTGGATCACCAAATCTTTGGATGATAAGATTCCAGCGATTTTTTGCGGCATGTGAGGTCTGGTGCCCCATTCTCTTTGCCGGCGACCTGGCCGTGCTGGGCCCCTTGCAAAAGATGTCGGCACTTTTGCCGAGCACACCGTGAGCGACACGGTGAAGATGAAGGAAGCCCAACGAGTGGCCGACAACTTCGCAGCCCAGTCTGTAGAGCCGAACCCGGGGAGAAACAAGAAATTGTGTCTTTGCTGCGACAAGACAATGGAGTTGTTGCTTCCCTTATTCTTTAAAATGAGATTCAATGCTGTCGAGGCCAAAGGTCCTCGGCCTCATCAGACAACGACGTCTCGCTGCGAGGGAGGAAGTGCAGGCTGTCATGCACATACTCAGTCTTGCAGGCCTCGACTTCCGGCTGTCCGAAAGGCAGCTGAGGCCCCCAGACCTGAGGAATGGCGAGATCCGCCTGACGGATGCATCTTTGGGGCCGATGCTGTGGCACACGGAGTCAGGGGCGGTCCAATGGGACGCAGTCCTTCCTGAGGACCTTCAGGAGCTTCGGCTGGTGTTGGCCCCGGATGAGGGGGGGCCCTTATGGGCCGGGTTCCAATGGCTCGCCAAGAGGGGATACCGCATCAGTTTTCTGCCGGATCTTATGTACCTTGGCTTTGGTTCAGTTCATGCATTCAGTACTTCAGACTCAGACTGTTGTGCGGTGTTGGAAGCCCCAGCCATGACATCAATTCATTTCATTCATCATAATTGCCTCAAGGCACAAGCTTCAGAACAGCTATCTTCGCCTGCTGAAGTGCACGCCGTCCGTGAAAAGACTCTTGGTTGGAAATCAGCCCTATGAACCCTGAACCCTAAACCTAGTAGATGCACTGAGTTCTGACGCCGGTCATGCTAAAGCATAAGTACTAGCAGGTTCAAGATGGTGCACACCCTGCTCACAAAGCAATCATTGAATCAACCCGCGACGTCCCTGAACGATCGTTTGTCCTGGCCTCCCAGACAAGATCAGGTTGAGTCGTTCAACAAATGTTGTGATGTACTGCTGGGTCTTCGCTCAACAAGGAGAGTCTCTCACAGGCTTTGGTCATCCTGTCAAGGGAAGAATCAGACGCCGCAAGGGAATGTATATTGACGGAACGCAACCCAAAGCTGCAATTCCGATTGCCTCCTCTGCCTGACAAAAGTATTGTGTCCTGGCATCTGCCGAAGAGACTGAGTCACCGCAGCAATTGTGTGGGGCTGCTACTAAGACGGGACTTTGGACGTCCGAGTCTTCTGTGAAGAGCTTTTTAAGCCTCAGCCTCAGGCTCGAAGCTATGTGTAGCTACACATCAGCGACAGGTCGGAGACCTTTCCCGAGAAAACTTTGCACGCCGTACTGTTTCTACGGGCTTTATTTCCTAGAGAGTATCAGCTGAGGGTCGTTTCCGCAGAAAAAGTATGCACGCCCTTGGTCGCATCCTCTAGCTGTCCGCTACTAATTTACTAAGAGCCCGCCTCTGGCATCTGATGTTAAATGGTGCAAAAATAATCACTGCAAGACATGCAACTGGAGATAGCGAATCTTGTCCATGTGGAGACCCGTGCAGTCTGTAGACCTGAGGAATGTACACGCTTACATCTTGGCTCATGCGAGCCAAGCGGGCACCGTGGAAAACTTCAGCCGTAGGGCAATCCTGGCGGGAAAGCGGTCAACGCTATCTTCAAATTGCACCTTGGCTGCAGTGCCCAGCTCTGTTTGTCGTCATGTCCCGCACGAAGAGACCCCCAGGCCACCGAGGACGATTCCTTGATGCAGTTGTTTGGGCCCAGCATCCTGAAGGAGTTCCTTGTCGTGAGACGATTGCGATTGTTGTCATATACTCATTTTCCTTTCCCTTTTAACACTGCTCAGGAACGGGTTCCCTGCCGATTTGGGAAGTCGCGAGTCTTTCGAGAAAGTTTGCGAGATTCTGGGAAATGCGACAAGGCCGCTCGCCAAGGCATCTTTGTGACGAGTGCACAAAGATCGTGAGTTCTATCCGCGAGCCAGACCTGAGGTCTGTGGCTTCCCTCTTCGACCGAGGGAGGTGGATCAGTTGGGGACACGCCGCCCGCAAGTTCAAGAGAAGCTACTCGTGCACGCTCTTGATGGTGTACTGGGGGTGTCTTGAAGAACCCTGTCTGAACTTGTCTTCTGCTAGCCTCTGTTCTTTTTGATTCCGGGTCGTCTCATGTGTCCAACAAATAATGAGTCAGGAGGGTGTCAACCCCTTCGGGGGCACCGACGGAGCGAAACAGACCGGCGACTCCGGCGAACAGTACGACAAGATCGTCGATCTGTGTATCAGAGCCACTTGCCTGAAATACCAGTTCCAGCTGACTGTTTTGACTCTGTCATGTTCAAATCAAAGTAATTAATAAATAGGAGGTGCTCAGATATCAATTGCATAGGCCCTTGTCGACGAGAGCTCCCACGACCTCTACAGATCCTTGGAATTCCACTCCCGCCCCTGGTGCGACCTCGGCATCCAGATCGCCGCTGGGCTCTAGATTACCGCGAAAGAAAGAAGAGAGAAGAAACCCGGGAGAAGAGAGTGTGTCGTGTGTCGTCTGTGGAGCCCTGGAGACTGACTTTGTGCTTAGACAGCTTGCATATGACTGCCGGCAACCAAGCAAGCGAACAAGTCCAAGCTCATGGCGGAGCACGACCATGCCCTCTTCCTCCAGGAGTCCTTCGACGGCAAGGTCGCACGACATGTTCGGGAAGCCTTGGGCTCTGAAGCTGCTTCGTATCTGGACGCCCCACCCGATGTGGAGCTGCGAGACAACGGCTTGGTGGAGGTGACTTGCCTGCAGCTTTGCTCTTGTTCCTTCGAAAATCTTCTCTCCCTGAGACAGCACGATCGCAGACATGATTTGGGATGCTTGTCCGATGAAGTCTAGATGACTGGCTGTGTCACAGGGCATTCCATACTCCTGAGGGAGCGACACTGTCACCAGTCCGAATCTTGCAAGCTCGACAGACCTCTGCCGGTCTCCACCTTCTGAACGCTATGGTTGGGCAGTCAGAGAAGACTCGTACTCGTTGAGCCAACTAGTATGAACACCGTTTCCCGGCTGATCATCGAGACGAGTCAAGACACGAGGAGACAGTGCGGCTAATCCGCAGAGTTTTCCCAGCTGTCGGCCTGGGTTTCCTGATTGAAAAGAAGGGGAAGAAGACGCTATATGTCTTAAGTAAGAAGACGGGCTCTGGGCATTGGCTCTCTCCTCCACACCAAAGGTCCTGAGACTTGACAAGTAAGCAAGAAAGACGTTGCTTGCAGGGCATTGAATGGAAGCCTGCAAAAGTTAAGCCAGAGGGGCTAGCTATTCTCAGCTTGGGTCGCCAAGGGTGCCGAGACATCTTGAGAGACAGTGAGTCGAGACGTGTCCAGTTTCAAGCCATAGTCTCTTGGGAGCCAGAGACAATGCCAGCTGCAGAAGAACGCATTCCACTGCGAGATAACGTGCACGAAGCGAGACTGAGACGTACATCATCACAGCGATCAGTCCTGGCAAACGAAACACTCTGCACCTCATAGTTTTGCATAGCAATGCAACGGACTCTGTTTTTTTAAGTGTTGCTTAAGTGGCGGTTCCGCCGGACTGCATGATGTCTCTCTGAAGAGAAGTGGAGGTTCCGGGCTGTCCTTAACAATCCACTGTGCTGGCCCGATACCAAAGAAACTATATAGAGTCTGACACTCGCACATCAGTTCGAAGTTCAAAGTCAGTTGGCTCTTTCGATTTTGACACGACTGATTGTAACACGTGCACGACGTGTTCAGAATTGAGACTACGACATGGATTAGCAGTTATGAGGACGTTTGCATAAGAGCTCAGAAAAGACCAAGGTCGTCAGTCGCCGTGGCTACGTCAAGCAGAGGCTTCTGGAAGACCACTTGACGGCCACCCTCGCCTGCTGCTTCGAGCTCGAGAGCTACGCCAGACACCTCAGAATGGCACCGCACGCCTGTGCCAGTCTCTTGGCCTCGGGCACCACTGGCGAGAGCCTCTTGCCAACACAGACAAACTTGCTTGAGGCCGTCAAGGCCGAATGGAGCTTGGTGGTGCGAATGGAGGGCAAGGTGGCGACCGCCGACCTCTTGCATCAGCTCTGCCCCTACGTGCTGCACCAGTGCTATAGGGAGCTCATGTCCAGCTTGGCTGCTGCGGACTTCTGCCTGACTGCGGAATGCCGTGAGATGGTCTCTGCTTGGTATCCCGGTCTCTCGCAGTCGTCCAATGTCGAGGACGTGTTCAAGTCGTGCGAGGAGGCCTGCCGTCGCACGAAAGCTGGAGCGGCGAGCATGCCGAACTTGTCCATCGTCGCGATGAGGGCCTTGATGCAGAAAATGACAAACGGCGAAGGCCAAGCTCGATCTGTGGTGCTGGAGGGTTCTGATTTTGAAGGCCCAGAGGTGAAAGCACTCAAGTCAAAGCTGTTCTCCCCGGAGAGCTTTACCGGCGGACTCCTGGAAAGAAACTATGTCATCTTTTGTCTCCGTTAACTAACATCTCGAACCTAGCCAGAGGCTCATTGACAAAGCCTGCTGCTCATACACAATAACAATAACTGTTCTGATGCAGACATGCACAGACTCTTGGCGGCCTCGTGTCAGTGATTGAAGCAAGCTCGCCAGCCTCCTGTGGCCATTCCTCTTTGCATCGTGACTTTGTGTGTCTCAGATGTCTCGAAATCTCCAAGAGCAAGGGCAAAAAGCAGTATATATCATATGTGCATGTCTGTCTGTGTGTGTGTGTGTGTGTGTGTGTTTGTTGGTATTCAACCCGCTCCCTCTGTCTGCAAAAACTGAGGAAAAGAGATGTCCCTGGATGACCTCTTGAAGGACAACACCGGCACGACTGCCTTCAACCACAACAAGCTCCACCTCAACAACATGCAGGGACTTCTGCTGGCCGACAAGATCCTGGCCTGAAGAACAGCCAGACTGTGGCTTTCCCGTGCTCTTGCTGTTTGGAGAGTAAATAAGCTAATCTGTATTGATACTGAGGATGGGCATCGATGTGGAGGTTGCCGCCAGATCGTTCTGGGTGCCTCCGCTTTGCCAACGTGGCATGCTGTTCAGTCTTGAGAAGGGGGGCAAGTACTTCCTTTCTGTCGGCTCCACCCCAGCTGTTTGCCATGCATCCTGCCTGCAAGACGTTAGATGTGCAGAGTTCTGGATCAGACAAGATTTTTTTTGCTCTGCCCCACCGAATCTACGGAAAGGCACTGCCCCTGCAAGAGCTGGACTTGCAGTTCTGTGGAGAGCTGCCGCCCGAGACGCTGAATGAGCAGGAGGTGCCCACTTCGAGCCGGGAGCAGCAGGATCCTTTGCAGACCAACGAGTTTGTCAGGGCTCTGAAGGTTGAGGTGAACGAGTACCTTGGCTTCAGTTCATAGCTGAAACAGAGAAGTTGGGGTTGCATATGTTTTCGCATGTTCACATCACAGGCAGTTGTTCATTGTTCATTCAGCTCAATCATGAAAATGCTGCAAAGGAAGCCCTTGCAGTTGCTCCTCACGAAGTTCTGGCAGGCTGCCTGGAAAAAAGACGCAGAGCTTAGGTTCTGTTTGTGACCACATTCTTTGCAAGATTGAGAGCTGATCCTGAGCTGAAGGTGCGAGTCTTCAACTACTCGGTGCACCTCAGCCCGGATGGCTATCTTCTGCGACGGTGCCAGAACGACCTGCCTCTGGTGGCAGCTCTGATGAAATCCGGAGGGATTCTGAGTCTGACTTCAGATGCTCTTTCACGCGTCTTGGATGAAGCAGGGTCAAGTCTCAGAAAGAGCGCCACAAAGACTCAGAAGATCCGTGCCGTTTGCTCCTTGGCTGTCGTGAAACAGCACGTGAAGCAGAGCCGCATCGATGAGATTCTGGAGCATTGCCAGCAGCTGGATGACAAGCGACTGCAGAAGATCGATGCCGCTGCCGCCGATGCCGAAGACGATGAGGAGGAGCAGCCGGATGACGAGGCAAACGTTTGCACACAGTGCAGACACACCTGTGTTGTCTCTGCTTCAATCCTTTCGCATGTCGCAGTCATAACTAGTACTGCTGGTCTTCGAAATCAGTGCATCGCCCAAATTTTGCTTCATTGAAAAATCCATACTGACTGCTTTTCTGATGCAGGCACAGGATCCACTGGAACCCCAGGATCCTGCATGGGCAGCTGCTGCAGAGCTGCTGCGAGGCATGGAGCAGGAGAAGACATGTGCATATTCAGTTCATTGACTCTTGATTGGAAAACCCAACCTCGTCCCCGCGAGACATATTGTCATGAAATAGTAAGAGACTTCATGATAGCCACCGCCCACAAAGTTTGTGATGCCACTTTGCAGGAAGAGCAGAAGCACAGCAATCTCTTCGATGCAAGTGATGGTGCTCAGGCTGTGCCCTGGCTGCATACTGAATTAGCAAAGTATTTTATTTATTATAAATCTAAGTTCGCCGTCTTAGCATATGCAGTCTGGTCATTCTTCATACTGCACATATGTGCAAGCCTTGGCAGTCTATGGTTTAACACCCGCTCGACGAAACAAAGGAAGATGCTCAGAGGCAGAACACAGATGGTCAGAATCGCGAGAAGGCAGAGAAGGGCCGCTCAATGCTTGTGAGCACTGCTGCGATTCCTGCCTTTCTTGTCTCGAAGTATGGGCTCCTGGAGAAGGACAAAGTCGTCTTTGTTCACGCCGTGACCAAAGACCAAGTTCTGCCTCACTTCCAGGCCCGTCTTCTCGGTGGCAAGACGTTCGAGGGAAAGCCGCTGGTCTGCTGTTTGCATCATCTGTTTTCTTGTTTAGTCTGCTAAGTTAGATTCAAATCTTAGCCATGTGGAATGTTTTTGCCTTTGGCAGTGACCACTCGTCTCAGGGGCTCTTGCGCTGCCTCTTACAATCCAGATCTTCGAGAAGATCTGGTGGATGAGAATCGCTCTTCTGGCAGCGCGATCGCGCCGAAGAAGCGATCGCAAGCTCAGGCTTTTTTCATTTGCTTCTCGTGGGCTCAGAGAGCTTTGAAAATGAAGAAGCCGAAGCAGAGCTGAGATGTGCTTGAATATCAGACGGAATAAATAGCAGAGACAAGGAACAAAAACAGTCATCCCGTCTGGTATTTCGGCTACATCCAGCAGTGTGCTTGCGACTCTGGAGAGACCGGCTGGCAGAGGAAAACAAGAGTGCTTTCCGAGACAAGCTTTGCAAATTAAGTCGCAAACACAAGACAATCGAGCCAGCAGGCTCGCAAACACAACAAAATCGAGCCAGCAGGTTCACCAACATAAGAGAGTTTAGCCAGCAGGCAAGAGTGAGCAAGCAGGCAGATCCAGCCAGCATGCACAGTGAAACCTTTGAATGTAGGCCCATTCTACAATATGAACCCCCAAAAGGAACTACTTTAGGGCCTTAGGTTTTATCCTAAGCCCAACCTCCCCAAACACCAAAACCGAAGTGAGAAGCCGCCGAAGCCTCCCTGGCTCCCTCATGGCAAACCCAGAGCCAAACTTTGAAGGCTCCCAGAGAAGTGCTGTGAACATTGAAAAAATGAGGCCTGAACAGTTTGAAAAAGGCTTTTTAGGGGGGAAGCATAATTTCAAATATTAAGCGCCGTAAGGAGCAGTTTTCAAGGAATACATGCGTAAAAAGGAGCCCGAAGTTACGGCATGATAGCTGCTGCCTGGGCACTGCTTCGATCGTACAGAAGCACCGAGCACCTGAACAAGCTTAGGATCTATAGGGTCTAGCATGCGGGGTTGTATAATAACCCCGTACAAAAATCCTTATCCCAGAGTGTGGTTATCGTTTTATTTTCTTCTTATCGTTTTATCACGAAAATGCGTTACCGTTTCGCTATGTTTTGTTATCGTTTTATTTTCTTCTTATCATTTTCCACGGAAAACATCGAAACCCAACACGGACATGTCAAAACTAAACTTAGAATCTCCGGTCCAATCATACAAGTACGTTCAGTGTTGTGGTGTCCTACGTCCACGTCTAGCATGTCGGGGATTGAGCCTGGACTCCTTCAGATGCACCCAAAGGGTCCCATTTAGTGGAATGTAGGGTTTCCATACTAGGAATTACTATTATGTATGACTTAGGGAAGTATCCCCCATAACAGTACAAAGGACCCTTTGGGGCATTGAGCAGAAGACGTCGACTCTGGCATCCGCAGCCTACGTTCATGGATTCAAAGCTGCACACACTTCCGACTAATGCTGGCGCCACTGCGCCGGGAAGTGATTTGCCCGTAAGAAATACCGCGGCCAAATTTACTGTGAGGGTGCCACACTAGGATTAGCATAGCTTAGCCAGATGGACAAGGCAAATGAAGCACACCGGTGATGCCGTCAGGAATATCTTGCGTACCCATTGCTTGGATGACGCACGAGGCAGGTGACAGTACTTCCAGAAATGGAGTCTTGGGGAGATGCCTAACCGAAAAAACTACTCAAAGATTAAGTCGGACCCATGCGAAGCCTTCGAAGACAAACTTTGACACAATGAATACTGCGCTCAAGCAGGTCATCCGGCCAAGTCACGGCATTTGAGCTCAGCGTGTCAGCTACAATTCGCTGAGCGCCCATGGAGCGAAGGCACGACAAGGCCTCTGTCAGTGTGTCTGAAAGACCTATAATCCGCAGTGCAACTGCATGCATATTATACGGCAAAGGAACGCAGGACTAAAACGTGCATGGACGTACGGGTGCACATATGTATGTGTGTATGCTTTAAGTTTGCATACATGTATGTATGTATGTATGCAAGTACGTAACTGTATGTATGTATGTATGTATGTATGTACGTATGTATGTATGTATGTATGCATGCCAGACCATTTCCCGTGACCTCCTTCTGCATGCAGGGCTTTGAGGTTTGAAGGGGCAGGGTCTTGGGGTTTGAGGGTTTAGTGCTTACGGGTGTCGGGTTCAAGGGCTTAGTCATCCGTCCCTCGGCTTGAGACAAGCAGCCCAAGGCCACTGATGGCCCTGATCGCAGGCATCTAAGACCTTTCACGGTCATTCGAGACAGGATTGATCCAACGGGGAAGTGCAGAACTTTTTCCAAGTATGGTTTGTGCCTGGCGCTCCCGGGCTTCTGTGACTCCGTCTTGGGGGCGCAGGGCTTAGGGTCAAGGCTGTAGGTTTCAGGCCCCCAGCATAGGTGATCAAATCGCTCCAAACGTTCCTCTACGGCGATGATTTTTAAATACCCGGACATCTAAACAAGTTAAACAGGTGTGTCATACTACTTCCGTGGGCATTGTCTCTGGGCCGCCCAATTTTAAAACACACGGAAAGACAACAACACGAGACTCCAGCCCGCAGACTCCGTCCTCCAACCTTCGCCTCTCCAGCCCTCTTCCCAGCCTTCCAGTTTCAGCCCCTCCAGCCTTCCAGCCTTCCACCTTCCAGCCCCGCCAGCCTTCCAACCTTCCAACCTTCTAGCCATCCGCCTCCACTTCATTCGCAGCGCCACACTGCGCAAGTGCCCCGTACCTTGCAAAATATGCCTGAGAATGACGGGCTGGAAGGCTGGAAGGCTGGAAGGCTGAAGGCTGGAAGGCTGGAAGGCTGGAAGGCTGGATCTTGGGTTGCCCGCCCCCCACATGTTTTAAAATTCTCACCGTATAGTGGAGAAATCCCATGTAATCCCGTGTAGCGTGTACGGTTCGGGGCTTGGCTCCTCTGATAGAAGTCTCATGTAGGTATGCAATGTACGCAGAATTTCCTTCTTGTGGTCATTGGCCGCGCGGAATCTTCTAACCCTTATCCAAACTAAACATCTGTACACCAGTGTCACCGAAGCTTGTGGGAGGCTCGGAGTATATGCTTGCCGCAAAGATACACTTGCCCAGGACGGGGGGTGTATGCTGATATGCTGTGGCTGGGTGTTCGGCAATTTTTTTCGTTCTAGGTCGTGGACCGGAGTTGGGAGTTTGGCTGAGGGTGGCTGTCTGTCCCGATCTGCAGGCCCAGCAGCACAGTTCCATGCAATGAGGTCCATCTGTGTCCGTGTGGACTGGCTCTCCTGCACTTTCAGGAAAGACTTTGGCTGAAGAACACATGTTTCAGCGGGGTTCCTTTTTTCGAGAAGACCTACCATGTACAGTTCCCTCGAGGTGTATCTTTCAACAGGGCTTGTTTCGTCTGGAAAAAAATCACAGGAATTCGAAGGTGTAAGAGGTCCCCCCTCTGCAACGCCAGCTTCCACACTCTTCGACCTAGAGCATGGATAGTATGAACCCGAACCCTAAACCATCCTTAAATCCTGAAGCCAAAGCCTAAATCCGGAACCTAAACCCCGAACCCGACATACTGAAACCCTTATGACAGCTCCAAACTCTGCAGCCATCTAAGCCTTCTCCGCAAATCCCTAGAACCCCCGAATCTGAAGCCCTAAAAACCCCGGGCCTGAACCCAAGGTCTAAAGAGTTTCAGGATTTCTGGGAGGGCTCTATAGGTCCTGGTCCTGGTAGGTGCCTTCGAGTTGGGAAGGGATATGATGGAGAGCCGGCGATGTACCACGGTTTGGAGACGCTTTTTTGTTTTGTGGGTGTGGTTAACAATAGGCTATAAGGCTGTTTAGACGGTCGGGTTGTAGGCGCCAGATTGCAGGACGTAGCTGCAAGGCCGCAAGGTTCATTTTCTTCGGTAACTTCCGTAGATGCGCCTCAAACAGCGGCGGAGACTATCACCAGCCCAAGCCCCCCAACCCTAATACTAAACCCTGAGTTCATGCTTTGAGCCTGAACCCTAACCCTAGGGCTCAAAATGGCCCTAAAGCCTTAGATAATATGGTCTTTAGGCCCAAAAGCCTCAAAGAATATGGGTCCTTGGAGCCTGATTCCTAAACTCCTTCAAAGCCCCAACATCCTAAGCCCCAGATTTGGACACCCAACCAGACTCCTAGTTACAAGTGGGTTATAAGTTAGTTAGGGTTTATAAGTATAGTTACCCTAGCCAGCTATAACCCCACTTATAACTACCCATGAACCTCCCAGTAGAACTCTCATGGTGGCCCTTACAGAAGTATCGCCCCCCCCATGAATCCGGAACATGCAATCCTGCAGAAGCCCTAGCGCCAACAGCCACTGCCCTGCAGCAGCACAGGCGCTGAGCCCAGCGTTCACTGCGGTGCTGCCGACCTCGTTTTACGCTAAGGCTCCAAGGACCCACATATTTTAAGGCTTTTGGGCCTAAAGACCACATTATGTAAGGCTTCAGGCCATCTTGAGCCTTATAATTATAGATTATAGGGTTAGATTTTTCCGGCTATATCAGCGCTCTTCTTCTTCTGGGGGTAAAGGTTCTATCAAGTGTGCTATAATAAGGGCTGGGCTTCTGAACTGATTCCTTTACTTCTATGTTGAAGCCAAGCATGTCTGTGGGAAACACCATATATAGACAAATCTCCGAAATTGTGGACCACACCTGCAACGTAGGCTTGAAAATCCACAATCGGATGATTCCTATAAGGTTTTTGCTGGGTACAGTACTAAAAATGTAATAATGAGCTCAAACGGATCTGAAGGAATAATATTGGGTAATGTAGGAGCCTGATTAAGAAGCCCTGGGTCTGTATAATATAAGGGGTTCCTTAGATGAATCCTACTATTTGGGGGCTATAGGCCCATGGTTTCTTAATCAGGTTCCTACATTAACCCCTGCTACCCTGGCCTAAGGGTCCATATGCCTGCGTAGCACATAACCAACATGCCCGAAAGCCTAGATTGCAAATCCTGCTGGCGATTGTGCTACGTGTCGGTCACGGTACGCTGCAACTCGACAGGGATCGCAAAGGAATGCGCTGTTGGTCATGTTTCAAAGGGTATGCATAGGCCCGAAACTCTAAACCGAACATGCCGAATTCTGAACGTGAAAGGCTGCGCAATGCTTTGTAACTCCAAAGACACGAGACCTTGCATCGTAAGCCTCTAGCCCTGACCCGGGACCCAAAGCCCAAAGCTCCAGGAAACACAGCAGAGCCTTCACCAACGTTCCTCCAAGGTCAGAGAGCACACTAAGTGCAAGCCTTGATCTTGGAT